GTGGATTCCTGGTGTATTCCTACACAATGTACTCCAGTCCTTGCCCCCTGTGGGTGCTGCTGGGGGAGGTTTGGGAGGCTGTGGGAGCCCAGGCCACCCCTGAGCCCGTGTCCTGGTGCCACAGGAGGCTGACGGATCGCCAGCGAGCCTTAATGATGAGCTACGCCGAGGACGAGACCGACGTGGAGGGCACCGTGAATGGGGTCACCAACACAGCCTCAGGTGAGCAGGGACACTGCTGCCCCTTCCCTGGGCAGCTGCTGTGGGAGTGCAGAGTGTTCCCTGAGCACTCCTGGGGAGCAGGGTGAGCCAGGGGTACCATCAGGTCTGTGGCAGCACAGCCTGGTTAACAGAAGTAGTTCTACTGTGGTATTAACAGGCTGTAGCACTCAGCAGGGAGGCAGCCTCTTCCCAGGAAGCTCTATTGCAGTACTTACAGGGCAAATGTGTGAACAGAGAGCAGGCTCTGAGTACTACAGGGTGCAGACAAGCTGTGCTAATGAATGCCTCCTGCTCCCTGCTTCCCCTGTGCCAGGACTTGCCTTGAGGCAGGAAAGCAGATGTGCTTCAGGCCAATTCCTGTGTGCTGGATCCCAGTCCAGTGTGCTTCTGAGCACAGCAGGGCTGCTCCTCCTGGAATGCTGGCAGGGGTTTCTGCTGGGGCTCAGTTCTGGGTGTGTGGGGAAACCTGGGCTAGGAGTGTCCACTGGTGGCAGTGACAGCTCTGGTCAGTGGACAGTGTCCAGCATGGTGGAGGAGTGAAGGCAGCTGGGAGCTTTGTGGAGCTGCTCTCCAGCTCCAGATGGAAAATTGAGATTCAGCAATTGTGTCCTAAGTTTCAGGGATGAGGTGCTTGAAGAGGCAGCAGCTAAAGGCACAACACATGGTAACATAGTAAGGAAGGAGCTCTGTCTCTCACTACTGGAAAGTAGTTTTTTCTTTGCTTAATTGAAACAATGAACTTCTTAAAGCCCATTGGATTTTGGTTTTGGTTTGAAACCAAACAGAGCATTTATGACTAGGCAAAGGTGAGAGCCTTTTGGAGCTGTTGAATGATCCCAGGATCTGCTCTCCTGTGAGGAGTATAGGCTTAAGTGCAGGATCTGCCAAATACTTCCCAGTGTTCTGTTTTATAGTAATTATACATACAGAAAATATGTCTTTCCTATATTACAGTCAGCCTTGGGGGAAGAGCTGAGAGCTCTGAGCACTGAATTTGCATTCCAGCTTTTTTAAAGGCATTTGTGTGCCAAAGAGGAAAAATAACCTCTTCAAACGAATTTTTTTAAAAAGCAAACCTGCCAGTTTTTACCATGATGAAGCAGCAAGGTGAGTCAAAACAACGCCAGTAGGTTGCAGTGTAGAGACAGGCTGTGCTGAGGGAGGCGTGTCCTGCCTCGGGATTTCATCCCATTGCATCAGTCCGAGCCCAGACTCAGCCCGGGGAGGCTGGGGAGCACCAGACTCCGAGTTCTCTGTGCACAAAGAAAGCTCAAGGGGGCGTTTGGCATCTTGTTGTTGATGGTTTTGCTGTAGAAAAAAGCAGATTAGCAAACAGGTCTCCTTTGTTCTTGTTATAGCCACTTCAGAGGGACAAACAAATTCTCAGGACCTGTTAATACAGGGCAATTTTAACATTCCTTATCTAGACAGTCAGTCTGAAATACTTGCAGCCTTTTTCATTCTACATGAGTTAATTTTCTGCTTGATACTGTCTGAGCATTGCTTGCAGTGACACAAATCAGGCTCCTGGTGTGGTTTTGCACTGCTTTGCAAGGACACAACCTTGAAACAGGCAGAACCTGTTTCAGAGACCACCAGCATAGATCTTTTAACCCTGTAAAGTCCTGGCTGGCTGTGATTGAGTTCACCATTTGTTTTTAGTGGCAGACTCTCAGTTCCAAGTACTTGTTTCCAAAGCCTGTGGGGTGCCTGACTCAATTGTGCAGCACAAGAATTCCCTTGCCAGTTGGAGGGCTGGGGAGAGGGGAAGGGAACAGCTCAGCACCTGAGCTCGTGGTTGGCTTTTCCACTCCTGGGATCCAGGCTCTGCAGTGCTTCCACTGCAAGGGGTCCAGTCCTGTGGCTCGCTGCCAGCTGCAGCCCTGGACACGAGGGAGCAGCACAACCAGCTGCTTTCTCCTGGCCATTCCCTGTCCCAAGCAGCCCTCTGGTCCTGGGGGAGATGTGTCTGACTGCAGCCCTTTGCTGTTTGTGTCCAGGTGGCAGGGCCACGGCTAGCGCTGACGCAGGCGGGGATAGGCCTGAGGCTCAGGAGAACAAGGAGGGATTCCTTTCCAAACTTAAGAAAATGTTTACCTCCTGACACCCCATCCGAGGTAGGAGGTCTCTTGTGTTTCACTGTTGTCTTTCCCCCACACTGAGCACTTCTTGGGAGGTGGAAGCACAATAGCACAGCGTTGCTTCTCACTTAGCCTCAGGCCTTCCAGCCCTAGCTGTCCCCTGGGACCTGGAGCAACAAACCAGGGATTAAAGTGCATTGTTGCTGCAGCAAAGAGCAGCACGGATGCTGGGTGCTCCCTTGGGGAGGTGGCTGGCCTCCTCTGCAGCCCTGCTGCTGGAGCTGTGCCCAGTTCCAAGCACTGAGCGTGTTCCCATGAGCTGGTCCCACTGGGACCGGGTTCTGCCACACAGATCCTGGGCTGCAGAGCCACTGGTGCTGGCACACTCGGGCTGGATTCACCCCTGCCATGGGCTTACAGCACCAGGGAGGAGCCAGCCTTTGTCACAGAGCACAGCAAAGCCCACCATGCATCACTGCAGTGCAACTCAGGTGCTTCAGCTGGTGCTGATCTGTCATGAGGGAGCACCAAGATTTGGAATCATCTGTGGCAGACACAGAGTCTGGGATTCCAGGGGCTCAGCTTTGCATCTTTGTAGGCTTCAAATCTGGCTGTGCTGTAGGGGTGACAGTGTGACAGCAGGTCAGGAGGGGAGGTGCTCCCAGAGTGAGCTGTGTGCTGTGTGCTGCTGATACAGCCAGGAAATTGTAACCTTCCTCTCACTCCAACTGCAGGAAAGCGTTCTACTGGGAACTAGGAGCCAGCAGCAGCAGGTCATCCGTGCAGTTGGGGGTGAATCTTTCTGGCAGCCAGGCTCTGGAGAACACAGGATGTCAGTCAGCAGCACAGCAAGAATCCCAGCTGGAGAGGCCAAGGACCACCGAGGCACCAACACCAACCCCACCCACTGTCCTAATAAATGGCAGTGAAGGAAAAAAAACAGCTTAGCAGAAGTGTGGCTCTCTGGAGGCTGCTCCACAACCCTACTGCTGCTGGAAGCTTATTTGGTAAAAGCTAAAGTTGAAGTATTATTTAGAATCCAAACCAGAGGAAATGTGAAATAAAAAGCCCAGCACAGAGCAGCAGTTTGCTGTATGGAGGCCCAGCCCACCAGCTGCTCACTCAGGTGCCCTTTGGAATGCCAGGTGTGCTTGGTGAACTCTCCAGGAGACTTGGTGGATCAGGAAGGTCTAACCTTGTCTTCATGACAGCCCTGCTGCCCTGCACAGCTCCAAGTGGAATCTCCCTGTGGCTGGGTGTTGTCTGAGCCCAGCTGGCCTGGCTCCCTCACAGCCCTGGGCTTTCTCTATCCTGCTGATTGCCTGCACAGAGCAGTGATGGAATCTGCACTTTGCCTCAAGTTTATCCCCCAAATAACTAAAGTTACCACACAACTGCTGTTGCTTCTGGACTGGTACAAGTCGATCACTGAGCCCTTTGCCAGTTGGGGACAAAAATCTTTTATTACTTTAGTGCAACACCCGTAGCGTAAAGGATTGGTCAGAGCATCGTTGTTTTACTTGTGTGAGAGTGCAAGTGAGGTGGATCACTCCTTCCAGATGGAGCTGAGCTCTTGCAGTGAGTATTCCATGGTTACTGTAGCCTGCTGTGTTTGTGATACTGTGCAGGTACCATCAGCCCCCATACTAATCAGTTCAACACCAGTTCAACAGGGACATGCTGTAGTCTTGCCCTTCTTAATTTGCTGAAATAAAGCACGCGTTGCCTCCTGATTAAACTTCTGTAAAGTGATTCTGTACCCATGTAAATAAGATGGACTTCATAAAGATATTTAACACGTGCTGTGCCTTGCTGCCTTGTCTACTCTTCCACCTGCTCTGTCAGCCCCTTTCCCTCCCCTCCTAACAGGAATGATGAAGGTCTCTGGGACAAGGAGGGGACAGGGCTGGATGGCTCAAGCATTGCTAGGGGCTGGGATTGACTTTAAACACAAAGCTGCCCTATCTGAGCAGTACTTTAGGTACATGAGGGGGAAGGGGCTTTTCCACTGAACCTTGGACAGTCTAGAAGAAGTTGAGTTTTATCTCAGCTCCTTGGGACAGTGACTGAAATTAGCCCAGGAGCCCAAGGACCAGGGCCAGAGCTGTATGATGAGGAATCAGGCTCAGCTTTTGTGTTACACTCACAGGAAGTCACTGCAGTCCCTGCTTGCTGGGGTGACACAAAGCCTCCATCTCTCCAGTGGCTCACTTGCAGGGCCCAAACCAGATCCATGGAGAAATCCCTGTGTTCTGTTTGCTTAGGAGCCTGCCACACCCATCCCTGGCCATGGATACCTGCCCTGGCCATGGATACCTGCCCCCGAGGCACTGCCTTTGGAGTACACACCTTCAGCCTCCCACGTGCTGCCATATGCTCAGAGCTGCCTGGGAAAGGAAGTGATCCCGGGAAAACAAGCCCCCACCACCCTAAAACACCCACAATGACTAAAGCAACACCTCCCTTAGGACAGAGGCTCCCAAAGGCAGCGCTTCTGCCACCCCTCTGCCTCTACTGTCCAGCCCTTCCTCTTGTTCTAGCTGCCTAAATAGTCCCAACCACGCTGCAGGAGCACACACATGGACCAGCAAGTGGGCTGAGCTCTCCCCAGCTGGGGCAGATCAGCCTCTCCCTGAGGCACTGCTGGGAAGGCAGCACGGCCCAGGGCTCCTCACCTCCTCAGCCAGGTGCCCCTACCTGCTGCAGAAAGCAGGGAGGCAGAGGAGGGAGGGGAGGCTCAGAAGGCGTGCTTGTTGTCCCCCACCCACTGCTGGAAGGTGCGGGCCTTGGGGTTCAGCTTCATGGTCAGGGCCACGTTGCGGTCTGGCTTCCGGGCGTAGAAACGGAACATGGCAGCCAACTCCTGGGCCCCAGGGAAGTCCCGCTTCTCGTACTCCTCAGGGGAGATCTGCCAACAGAATTGGGGGAAAAACTCTTTCAGAGCCTGCTGGGCTTCCCCCTCAGCCTCTGAGGGGATGTGATGAGGGCTCTGGTAGAGCAGCCTGTCACAGCATGGCCACTGGTGCGGAGGGCTCTGCAGGGCACTTCTGGGGTTGGGCAAAGGAACAGCCCGGCCAGCCTAGGGCCACCCCCAGCTCTGGCACAGCTGGCCAGGGGCTGGAGCAGCTATGAGGGAGCCCTTCCTCACACCAGAGCTATGGCTGAGGGGTTCTAGAAACTGGGTGGTCCAGGAGGCACCCCAAAACATCCCTGCCTGAATCAAAGGGTTTGGTTCACTGCACTTCTGAGAGGGCAGAACCTGCAGAGAGCAACCCAGGGACGTTGTTTCTAATGAAATGCACTTTACCATTCCCCTCATCCATTGGATTGGCTGCCTGAGGCACAAGTGAACTGCAAACAAAGATTAAAAAGAAGTCACAAAGGGTAGGGAGTGGTCAGGGGTGTTGTTAACAGTGACACAGCACAGAGGCCAGGTCTGCTGTAATGGTGACACAGCAAAGCCCTGGGGGAAGCCCTGCTGAAGGGAAGGGCACCCAGCAGAAACCTGTTGGGTAGGTGCCCATCCCTGGCTCTGCTGGAGACCTCCCAGCTCAGTTATCCCTCAGAGCCAGGCCCAGACCTGCCCAGGTACAACTGTGTGCTCCACAGGCACGAGCTCAGTGACAATACCAACAGGGCAGTGTCGCTGCTGGGCTGAACCAAAAAGAGCTGTGAGTCCCTCAGGAGCATCACCTACACCAAGGGACACTTCCTACCTTGCTGGCTGTCACAGTCTTGCCCGTCTGCTGGGAGAGGATGGCAGCGTACTCTGCCTCGGTGAGCTTGCCCGTGCTGAGTCCTATCACCCGGCCAATGTACTCCCCTGGGGACTTCAGCAGGGAAAGTACAACGGGCCCAAGGTCCTCCACAGCCATCCCATCCATGGGGGTGTCCCCCATGGGCAGCTCTGTATGGAGAGATTGATCCCAGCTGCAGTGCAGCCCAGCTCTGAGCAGGTACGGCAGAGTTTTCAGTCTCTGGGCATGAGGTGAGGGAGGGATGAGAGCACCCATCAGCACGGCAAGGTGGGAGAGCAGGGCTGAGCTGAGAGACCTTGACAGCAGAGCAGCACCGTGAGTCACCTGCAGCCCCACAACCTCCACCATCCCAAAGGCAGGCACTTGGGGCGTCCAGAGCTCCACCATCCCAAATGCAGGCACTTGGGGTGTCCAGAGCTCCTCTAGGATCTGCAGAACAGCCCTCAGCACCACAAACAGGCCCAGCATCCTGGGGATTTCCTGCAGGCCATCAAACAGGCCTGAAGACCATCATGCAGCTTGCTGTGGTCAAGCTGGGAGAGGCCTCTTCACGCTACCAGCCCATAGCCCTGGCAGTCTGTCCCAGGCACAGTGGGACAGTCACAGCACAGTGACCCACAGAGCAGAGCTCCTCCTTACCCAGCACAAAGGCGTCTCCCTGCAGGGCCTTCTGCGGCTTGAAGATGGAGAGGAAGTTCTCAAAGTAGAAGGGCAGGCGGATGATGGTGGTGGGAACCCCGATTTTCTGGAAGTGCTCCTCTACCACGCCTTTGCCATCGAAGTGCAGCACCTCCAGCTGCCCCCCTGTCAGCTGCTGCACGTTCTCCAGGCCGCTGAACACCACATGCTGCAGGCCCTGGCGCTTGGACAGATCAGCCAGGCGCCGTCCCTGAGCCAAGGGGGAAACCAGCCATGAAGAGGGGAATGGGACACCCCCATCATCCCCACAACCCCCCTGCCCTCTGGGGAGGATCCAACCCCCACCAGCTCTCAGCTGGGAGCACTGTGAGTTGTCCAGGTGGAGCTGAATTCTCTCCTTACCCCGTCCTACTTCAGAAAGGCCACACACCCTCCAGCTTTGGAGCTTGCTGCTCCACCAAACATGCAAAAAACCTGCCTGGCTAACATACCTGCCCTGAACTATCTTTTTTGTTTGTTGCCATCCAGGCGTGGCAACTGCCACCTTGCAGTATCTGTACTGGTGTGAGCACCACGCTTGGAATCTCTGATACTGCAGGGTTTTGGCCCCAAAGCTGCAAGCACAGAGAGCTACAGGTCTGCAGGCAGTGACTGTCCCAGCTCTGCCCTGGGAAGGCTCTGAGGAGCCAAGTGTTCCCACTCCTGCTACTCCAGCTCCTGGAAAGGGCTCTATGTAACAAATTTATCAACTCCTGAAGGCATCAGACCCTGGAGCCATGCCACTGTGAGGGAACAGAGAACAAGTCCTGGCTTTGCAAGAACTGGGACCTGGTGTTTGTGAGGCCTTGGGGTCTTCTGGACTGGCTACTCAAACCATCAAGGCTGCCACAGATGGCCCAAGAGCTGTCCCCACTTTGTCCCTGCTGCCAGATCATTCTGCACATGGTCCCAGTTAATGTCAGGACAGGTACCTGCTCGATTTCCTTCTCCTTGCTGCAGTGTTCCCAGAAGTTGGTGACAATAAAGGCTCCGTAGGCACCGGCCAAGGCCTGCTCCAGCGATGCCTCATCGTCCTGATCTGCCTTCACCAGCTCGGCTCCCCTGCGCCTCAGCTCCTCCGCCTCCTTCTTCCTGGGGCTCCGGGTCACGGCGCGCACCTTGAAGCTCCCATCGTCCAGCAGCGCCCGGGCCACGGCGCCGCCCTGGGCCCCTGCGGGAGCAGCCGGTCAGGGCGGGCCCCGGGACGCGCTGGGGCCGCGGGACGGAGCGGCCCGACCGCCACAAGCGCCGAGCGCCGCTCGCTGCCCGCACCGCTCACCCTCCTCACCCCCGGCCGCTCGGGCATCACCGAGGCCTCCGCCCCTCGCCGGCCGCAGGCACAGCCCGGGCCGCTCCCCGCGCACTCACCGGTGGCCCCGAACACCACGATCAGCTTCTTCCCGGCCATGCAGCAGCGCGGGCGGTCCCGGGGCTCTGGCAGGGCGAGAAGCAGCGAGGTCGCACCGGTCCCGGGAGGGAGGAGGGCAGGGAGCGGGGCGCCTGCGGGGCCATCGCGGGTCCCTGGGGGCAGCGGGCGGGGAGGGAGCGGAGCGGCTGAGGGGCCATTGCGGGTCCCGGGCCACCGGGCGCGTCTTCCCTCACACGGCTCCTCACCTCGGCTCCAATCGGCTGTGCCCGGCTCGGTTCGGGTGCAGTCGGCTCCTCCCGGCTCCGTTCGGCTCGGTTCGGCTGAGCTGGAGCTGCGCGCGTTCGTCTGTTCGGCGGGACCCGATTGTGTTCGGCTTCACCCGACTACGCTCGGCCACGCCCGTCCGGGAGGGGCTCAGATGTTCATCCATTGCAGGCCCCGCCCACCAGTGCCAGGCCACGCCCACAGAAGTCATGAGGCTCCGCCCCCATCCCATCCCAAATTCTATCGCGTCCCATCCCCAATTCCATCCCCGATCCCATCCCATCCCTTGGCCCAGCCGCCTGCTCCTTGCTCAGAAAAGCTGTTTAAAACCCAAAAGCCACCACGTAACCCTCTGGGAGGTGGCCGGGGGTTGTGCCCCTTCCTCCCCGGGGACCCTCCAACATCCCAGACTGGTAAGGTTTCCTTGGTGTGGAAGCCAGGCTGTTCCCCAGGCTGGTCCTGCTGCTCCCTCTGGAGCTGGGGCCGTTCGTTATCCCCAGTTTCGCTGTCCCCAGGCAGGTGACTGTGCAGGTGTGAGCTGAGGAGCTGTCCCCGAGCACCCTCCTGCCAAGCAACCGCTCGAGACAACAAACAGAGTCACCCTGGACCTTTTCTCTCCTCTCCTGCCAGCTCTGGAGGGGCTGCGGGCAAACCCACACTGCCAGGAACTCTGTAGGTTGGGTTTAGTAAATAAATACATTGAGAAATTTGGGGTTGAGTCTGGTAAATGACCCAGAAAATCCGTGAAGCATGTGTAATACACAGTGGCAAAGAAATATTTCAGATGTGTTAATTCAGATCAAAGATGAATTGTGAAAGCAGGAGGAGGTACAGCTCTGACCGGGGTTTCTGCACAGTCATTTTGGATGTGAGGGATTTCAGCTACAGATTGGCTGCTGGGAATTCCCAGGTGCCAGCTCCTCTTGAAACCCTCCTCCAGACGGGGAAATTACCAACAGACCAGAGAAAAGGTTTTAACCCCATACTGGGCACAGCCTGGGGTGGGCAGAGAGCGAGGCTGGGGGAGACATGGCCCAAAGTGGTGGCTGGAGCTCCCAATTCCTGCTTGTCCCCACCTCTCCTCCCCAAACACAGTCCATGGCCACGAGCCCACCGACCCCACCAGCTCCATCAGCCACCACTGGCCTGAATGCTACTGAAATTTTTGTAGGATTTACAAATGGAGGGTTTTGTCAAACAAAACTGGAAAATAATGACCGAGCCCACCTGGAAGGTGGGGAGTGGAGAGTGGGGAAGGGAGATCCCGCCGGTGCTGCTGCTCTGGTAGCTCTGGCTCCTGGCTGGGATGGGATCCAGCTCTTTGGAGACAAATCCTAATTCAGGAAGCATTTGGCAAGGGCAGGAGAACGGCTTTGGAGGAAAGGGAGGCTCTTCCTACCCTTTTATCCCACTCTTTCCAAACACAACTTTCATTTACTCCTGGAATTATTTCGAAGGGCAGAGCTGCTGCCAGTCCAGCCTCTCCCATGGGATATTCCCAGCACTCCTGGCCAGGGCTGGGGGTGTGCAGCAAAACCTTCTGCTCTCCCAGGCTGAGCTCATGGTTTTGCTCCAAGTGAATTCGCAGCACTCTGGGCGCTGTTGGGGACGGGTTTGTGGCTTTTGGGAGAAAGAGCCCGCGGTGGGGGAAGCGTCCCTGCACGGAGCATCCCAGCGGGGCAGCCCCGGCTGTCGCTGCGGGGCTCGGGCGGGTTTTTGGCCGATCCCTCAGCCCGATTTGCATAGCCAGAACCCCACAGGGTTCTGACAGGAAGGAAGATCTGCGAGACCCAGGGCAGGAAGGGGCGCGGAGAGAACGGAAAGAGACAGAAACCACCGCGCTGGAAGCGGCGGGGGGAAGGCGGACCCACCTTGCCCAGGTGCTGCCCGAACATCGCCCTGCCCCAGGAGGCATCAGGGGACACCAGCGGCAAGGGTGGCTTCTGCTCCAACCGGAGCAGCGCCCAGGAGGAGAAAGCCCCGGGGATACGGAGCTGAGCGGACTCGGAGCGGCTGCATCCGCCCGGGCCATGAGGATGCTCTCGGCACTGCCCTGCTGACACAGCGACCTGGGCAAGGGGCCCGAGGCCAAGGTAGGGGCTTGAGGGGGCTTGGAGGGGTGTGGGGAGAAGGGGAGAAGGGGAGAAGGGGAGAAGGGGAGAAGGGGAGAAGGGGAGGTGTCCCTTGGCTCTCCCGAGTGGGGACAAACTGCTGCAGAGCTCGTGCTGTGATGGCCACGTGAAATGGAGTCACTGGACCAAGGCAGTGACTCAAGGCAGGGCCGGGAGCTGACAGGCAGAGGTCCCTGGCACGGCATGGCACGGCATGGCACGGCATGGCACAGTATGGCACAGCATGGCACGGCATGGCACAGTATGGCACAGCATGGCACGGCATGGCACGGCATGGCACAGTATGGCACAGCATGGCACGGTATGGCACGGCATGGCACAGCATAGCATGGCATGGCACAGCATGGCATGGCATGGCACGGCCATCAGGCTGGCAGGAGGGGGTGGAGCCCAGAGTGATGGAGATGAGCGTGGCACCCCACAGGGTGCCTGGCACATGTCACAAATCCTGTCCCCTTGCCTGCTCTGGGCACAAAGGAGCCTCAGCCAGGCTGTCCTGCCTGCCCAGAGCCTTGTGCAGCAGCTTTCCCCCCTTAATATCATCTGCTGAACTAATTAACTTCAAAATAATCCAAAATAAACCCCAAGATGTACCTCCAATAGAAAAGGAAGAGATTAGTGACTCACTCACCTGTGGCACGCTGCAAAACTGCCCCAGAGAGTGGGGCAGGGCCCTGGGGTGTGCCAGGAGCAGGGTGGGGGCTGGAGCTCAGCCCTGCACCCAGGTGGGCACCGAGCACCCTGGGCTGCCTCAGGGCATCAGGCTCCACCCTGGGGTTATTTAGGCACTTGTGGGCACTGTGTAGCCATAAATGTGGGACTGCTGGGGACAGGCTGGCTGCTGTCACCCTCACTCAGGGTTTGGCCACCACATGGAAGAGTTATCCAAAGCTGGACAGGCCCCATTGGGAGCCAGGGGATGCCTCCCACCCACGGGGTTCATGTTGCACAAAAATTTCTTCCTGGAGAACCTGCAGCTGCTCTTTGGGGTGCTCTGCAAGCCCAGGAAGGCTGGGTGGGTACCACATCTGTCAGCATCCCTGGGGCTGTGGGTGGCACAGGGACGGGCTGGCAGCAGCCCCTGCCCAGTTTTCCTGCTGATATCCTGAGGTCCCGTTGGTGGGAAGGGCAGGAGCTGCTTGCTGGGAGGATCTGCTGTTCAATCAGCTGCTTGCTCAGCTGTGGTGAAGCATCCTCAGGCCATGGCCAGCTGAGGAAATGCATCAGCCTCCACTCTGCAGCTTGTGAGGTGCAGCAGTGCCCTGCAAGGGACCTCCTCTCCAAAATTAGCTTCATTTTTAGCTGTTTGGAATCACCCCTAGATCGATTTTTCCTTTTTTTCTGGTGAGATTTGGGATTGGCACTGCTGGCATCCAGCCCAGGGGCCCTCATGTTCCCTCACCTTGTATTTAACCCCTTCTGTGCCTGGGCCCTGTTATAGGGGTTGGGGCTCAAGGAAAAAAAAACCCAAAACTCAAACCTGGAAGAGATTAAATTTGACATAAAACACATTTAATTTGGCAATCAATTTTGCTGGTATTAAACCCAGACCAAAAAATTTAAGTCATATGTAAACTTAGATAACTGAGTTACTTGCCAGTCTGCAAGCCTAATAACTGAGTAATAATGCAGAAGGTATTTTATTGCCTCGTTTAATTAGCAGAAATTAACGATGTTAAGTCTCTTCCATTCTGCCAAAAGGTGGCAGCCTGCATCCTGGCTTCGGGATTTGCTCAGCTCAGGGAACAGCTGGAGCTGCTGCCCTGGGAAATGTTTTCATTCCCATGGTGGCACACGGACATGGAGATGGCCAGGCTGAGGTTTTGGTGTGTTTGGGGCATGGAGTGAGCTGGGCTGGCACCTCCCATCTCCTGCAGGTGCTGTGGGACCATGCAAAGGTCATGTAGGAAGCTTTTAACCTTATCTAAATGCTGTAGCTCATTTTCCATGTTTTCCATCTGTGGGTGTCTGCAGCCATGCAGGAGCTCTTGCCCAGCCCTCTGGTGCCTGTGTAACTTCAGCCCAGCCCTGGCAGCAGGTCGGGTCCCCAGGGCTCTGCTGGGACCTGGGAAATCCCACTGGAGGTGCCAGCCACCCCCTCCCTCCCTCCCTCCCTCCCTCCCTCCCTCCCTCCCTCCCTCCCTCCACGCTGCTGAATCTGCCCAGAGGCCCTGCAGGGGAACAAACACAGATTCCAGCTGCTGGGTGTGCCCTGATGCAGTCCTGGTGCTGCTGGGACAGCTCCTGGCCTGGGGCTCAGCAGGTTCCTGAGGCACAGCGGGGTGGGTGGGCCTGTCTGGGGCAGCAGGAAGGTCTGGAGGCAGTAAATGCTCCCTGCTGTGGCCAGCTCAGGGCTGTCCCTCCATCCCAGATTCCCTGGACGCTGCTCTGGTGGTGTTGGACTGCCAGGGGTGACACTGCACGTACATAATTAGAGGCTGCACATAATTAGAGGCAGAGATGAGCAGGAGCTACATGCAGGCCTGTGTTCTGTGGGCTTGGAGTCAGGAATCCTGGAACAGACACAGTGAAAGCACAGCAGCTGTGATGGTGGGGACCTGCCAGCTCAGCCCTTGTGGCTCCCAGCACCAATGGGTTTGGGCAGGGACACTCAGGTGGGATGTGGGGATGCTGCTTCCAGCTGGATTGGAGCTGCTCAAAGAACACCTCAGTGTTGTCTGAACATCCTTAGAGGAAAGGATTTTCTCCTGGGCTAGACCTTTGGACCGCACTAAGCAAAAAACCAAAGTGTTAATGCCAAATTTTTGCCAAGAAAATCCCCTTTTCCCTCCCTGGGGCTTGCAGGTGCCATTCACAGTTTGGCTGGGCAGCCTCCCACCCTCCTGCCCCTTATTCCCATTTCCCTGGGGACACTGGCAAAGCTGCCTCCC